TCCTCAGCACCACATAAGCAAAAAGAAAAAAGCCGGAAGTGGTACTGTGGCTCAAGTGGTAGAGCACTAGCCTTGAGCTGAGGGATAGCGCCCAGGCCCAGAGTTCAGTCCCCACGACCGGACCAAAAAAAAAAAAAAAAAAGGTAAGAGGAAACGATATCACTATGTGCAGAAGAGGTAACATAAAATTTAATTCCTAGCCAGTTTAAAGTATTAGAATATGTCTTAAACTAAGTGGTATCAGAAATTAGAAACAAGTATACAACACTGGAAACATGGACATAAAAGTCAAGAACAAAACAAGAAGCAACACTATTATATTTAGAAGCTCTGGAGGTCCTAATCAATGTGCTGTGCTTTAAAAAGAGTGGGACACATTTCCAGACCATCTATAAAAAGTTTTTAAATTGTTACAAAACTGCTTATGAGCTGGGCACCAGTGGCCCATGCCTGTAATCCTATTCAGGAGGTTGAGAGCTGAGCTGAGTATCTCAGTTCAAAGCCAGCCCAGGCAGAAAAGTCCCTTAGACTCAATAAACTACTCAGAAAATACTGGAAGTGGCCCTGTGGCTTAGGAGGTAGAGCACTAGCCTTGAGCACAAAAAGGCTCAGAAACACCACCTGGGCCGAGTTCAAGCCCCAGGACTAGCCAAAAAAAAAAAAAAAAAACTGCTCATAGCAAAGATGTACACCAGTAATTGCAGCTCCTTGGGAAGTAGAGATTGTGAAGATTATGATTCAAAGCCAGCCAAGCAAACTTTAGCAAGACCGCATTTCTGGTGGTGCAAATCTTTCAATCCAGCCACATGATAGGCAGAAGTAGGAGAATTGCAATCCATGGCTAGTTGACATAAATGTGAGACCCTATCAGAAAAATTAACACAAAATAGGTTGGTGGTGTGGCATATTTGGTAAAGCACCTATCTAACAAAGGCAAGATGCTAAATTCTGCTAGTACTGCCCTCCCCCCCAAAAAAGGAACAAAACCATTTGGACTAATAAGCAGTAACCACATAATCATGCTATTATACATAGCTATCTTCTCCATGAGCTAAAAGCTGCTGTGGTAAGAGCTCATTTCCCCTCAAGTATCACTCTACAAGCTTTAAAGAGCTAACCCTGGAGTGAGTTTGCCCCACTCTCTGGAGTTGTTCCCCTCTCAAAAAGTGCCATAGTCAATGAAGTCTTATTTATCTAGACTTAGTTTCAGCTTCTTAAATTGAGTACTTTCAAAATCCATTCCCAAATGCACCCTTCACTCTTCACAGTACATTCTGATTTATATTGCTTCAGTAATCTGTCCTCCTTTTTCAGGCCCAGCAGTATCCATATAGGTTATGCTGCGATTTCAACCTATGACTTCACAAGTATAAGAAAAAAATCAGAGGGCTGGGAAGGTGGCTCAGTGGTAGAGTGCTTGCCTTGCATGCCTGAGACCCTGGGTTTCATTCCTAAGCACCACATAAGCAAAAAGAAAAAAAAGCCGAAAGTGGCGCTGTGGCTCAAGTGGTAGAGCGCTAGCCTTGGGCTGAAGAGCTGAGGGACAGCGCCCAAGCCCAGAGTTCAGGGCCCACAACCGGACCCAAAAAAAAGAAAAAAATCAGAGCAACTGTAGAACATGACTTCCTGTAGTGAGAGAAATGCTCACTCTTCCTAGGAGTTATGAGTTATTTCTGCAAACTCTGAGGATCCATTAAAACAAAAACCCTAAAAGGCATACTTTTCTGAACCAGACCTCACAGTGGAGCAGAGGCTTAAGCTGAGCATTCTGTATCTTTCAAGTTCTGTGATCATCAAATCCCAACTCTACTATTCCACTGAAAGAAATAAGAGCCTCTTCATTGCGCTCCAGAAAGGTCCCCTGACTCCGAAGTTTAGCTGGAACTGTGAAGTGCCTTCTCCTTATTTGCAGTATGAAAAGTATTATTTAGTTGGGCATTGATTTATCTCATTTCTTTCAAAAGTCTAAATTGCTGTGTAGGCAACATGATTTCCTTGATATGTATTCCTAGACCACTACTGGTGAAATCTTCAGCTTCCGAAAGTCCTCTATGCCAGAGATGGAGTAAAACCATTTCCCAAGGCCAATCTTACTGCTGCTTCTTTCACCACTCTGCACCATCCATCAGTTCTGATTCTCTGAGAAGCAGATGCCAAAAAGGGATTACCAGTGGCCCTTTATATTAATTAAAGCATCTGCATTCAAACATTCAACTAAGATTGCATCTATATGAATATAGACTTTTTGTTACTATTCCCTAAACTACTTAAAAAGCACTTGTATTTCAATAGTAATTATTAATACTCGAGATTATACTAGATGATTACTAGGTTATATGCTATTTTATATAAGGGACTTGAGCATACACTGATTTTGGTTATCCACAAAAGTCCTGGAACCAACCTCCTAGTTACCAAAAAAGACTGTATGCACCATACATAAATACATTATGTATGCATACACTATCTCTAGGATTGTATATGCTTTGTGAGGCCCAGAACAAAAGAAAAATGCAAGACCTTGGTTCAAAAAAATTTCAAGATGGTGAGAACAGAAGTCAAGTGTCGGGGCTGGGAAGGTGGCTCAGTGATAGAGCACTTGCCTTGCATGCTCAAGGCCCTGGGTTTGATTCCTCAGCACCACATAAGCAAAAAGAAAAAAGCCGGAAGTGGCGCTGTGGCTCAAGTGGTAGAGCGCTAGCCTTGAGCTGAAGAGCTGAGGGACAGTGCCCAGGCCCAGAGTTCAGGCCCCACGATCGGACCCAAAAAAAAAAAAAAAACAAAACAGAAGTCAAGTGTCTTACTCCAGGTATCATATTCAAGAAGCTGACCCTACTTTGGCAATGTACACACACACACACACAAAATGGAATAACAATTCTAAGAAGAAAAGTTACTTTTTCCATTACTTAATATGGAATTGTAAGTTCATTTAGGTAGAACGTTTTAGAGTTGATTTTTGATGGATACCTGAAGAAAAGTGAAGGCATGGTAAAGTAGATCTGTAATCCCAGCTAATTTGGAAGGAGGGGAGATAGGATCATTGTTTAACGAGGGCAAACTTCAGAGACCCTACCTCAAAGATAAGACTCTGTTGGCATTAACACACGGTAAAGTCGTCTATTTAGAAGGCAGAGGCAGGATAAACACAGGAATGCAAGGTCAAGTTCAACCCTCATCCTCAATAAAAAAAAAAATAGGGGGCGGGTGAGGGGGGAACTTACAAAAACGTGGTTATGGTGCAGTTCTACTCTCGGGCTGGAGCAAGCGGTTGGCCCTGCTCTGGTCTCCTGTCACTTCATCTCCCACTGGAGTGAGGAATCTATGGAATCAAGGAATACACGTACGTATACCTGGAGCCCACTCTACTTTCACCCAGGAATTCCCTACACTAAGGCGGAGACTGCTTTTGGGTCTTCCCAGTACTTTCCCCAAGGTCTGCTCTCCTGGGTAACCACACAAGGTTGGCTGTATTTAGGAGTGTAGTTGTTGAACTCGAACTCAAAAGCTGTCTAAACTTTCTCTGACCTCTACAAGATGCATATGTTTTTTCTAGTCTCGAAATATATCTCTCTACATTACTAGTTACAGTTACGTATATTATAAAAAATAAAAGCACATTTTCTGAAGTCTCCTCTTATAGTTGAAGAAAAACAACGAGTCTTCGTTTTTAAAAATTGTTTTGTTTTTTTTTTTATCATGCGCCTGCTCTGAGACACCGCTCCACCTCTCCGTGTACTGGTGAAGTGTTCACACATGACTCATCTAGTCAAAACATAAGCACGTTTTAACAAGCCCAATGATAACTAGTCACTACAAGTCCCAAAATGCACCGCAGGGTCAGCCTGCACCCTGCGGGCCGGCTTTTCACCTCTCGGGCCTGAGAAAGACGAGTTGTACGTAAAGAACGCGCAGTCGAACCAGCCGAGGGACTATTAAAGCATGAATGAGGGGCTTGAAACCCACAAAGCTACGACGGCCCTGAGTGACTTGTACCCGCTGAGCGACGAGTGACAAGGTGACTGCCGGGACGAATCTTCCTGCGCCTACTCAGTGCCCACGACCGAAAGCTCGGGAAGTGCCCACGAGAGCACGGCAGGGCTGCCTGGTGACGGGGGTTAGGAGGGCAGACCTCCCGGGCTCACCTGCAGACTGACTCTCCCAGCTTACACACACGCGCACGCGGGCGCGGTGCTTTCACCAGACAGGGGCTACTTTCCGCGGCCAGCTACTACGAGGCTAACGGTAAAAATGCCGTGGCGGGAAATAGGAAAGTGTCCGCACGCCAGCTGGGAGGGACACTCGAGTCGACCGAGGTCTCGTCCCCGGGCCGGGCTCAACTGTAACCGGCTCCGAAACGGTGGCGTGTGTACAGTGCGCTCCGCTCCAGCCTGTCGTCTGCACAGAACGAGGCTCGCTCCTCTCCTCTCCCCTCAGCCGCCGAGGCTGTGCGGGTGAGTGTCCGTGAAGGCAGGCCGACACACTTCCTCAGGCTTCACCCTCTTGGAGGATTCCTCCCTCTCAGGCTGACTTTGCCTTTTTGGTGTGGTTTTTCCTCCCTCCCAACTCGTTTCCGGCGCTCGTCACTCTCCGAAGTGCCAAAAAAACGACGCCACCCATGCCGTCCAGCAGCCGGGCTCTCGCCCACTCGCGGCCAAACCGGGAAAGCTCGCGAGAACTTGCCGGCCCCACGGCGCCGGGAGGCAGGCCGAGAATGGAGGAAGTCCTGACTTAGACCCGCCCATCGGAGTCTCGGGTTACTTCTCGCGAGTGCGCCGAACCTTCAGGCTCCGGAAGCGCGTGCGGAGCAAGTGGTGCCGCGCGCTGGACTCCTCGGCTGCCGTAGCCCCTGCTAGGCCAGCCCGTGCGAGGTTGCTGGAGGAGGAAGAGAAAGGCACCGAGAGTCGGGTTACAAGATGGCGGGCCTGTAGTGTTACCGCGGTGGCGGCGGCGGCGGCGGCGGGAGAGCGAGCGAGCTCTTGGGGGGCACAGGGCGGGGCGGGTGGGGGCGTTCGGGGGTGAACTGAGGGTTAGCGGGGACTCCCAGCGGAGGGGTCTCGGTGGCTCTGGTCACCCCTTCTCGCGGCCGAACCTTTGGAGCCATGGTGAACTCGGGCCTCTCGAGAGCCGCTGCCGCCGCCGCCGCCGCCACCAGCACCGCCACCGCCGCCGCCGCCGCCGCCGCCTCCGCAGTCTCCTCTCGGGAGTGAGGTGCACCGACGGGGCGAGCGGGGAGGCGGCGGCCGCCGCGGCGGGCACCGCAGCCACCATGTCGGACACACGGCGACGAGTAAAGGTCTATACCCTGAACGAAGACCGGCAGTGGGACGACCGAGGCACCGGGCACGTCTCCTCCACCTACGTGGAGGAGCTCAAGGGAATGTCCCTTCTGGTTCGGGCCGAGTCTGACGGTAAGGTGGTCGGGACGGTGGGATGAGGGGGTCCGAGGCTCGAGTTTTCGGGAACAGGGCTGAGCTTTGGGGCCCTGGGCCCCGGGTCCTCTCCTAACCAGCTCCGGGGACCGCGCGGTGGTCTGGAGTCTGCCCTCCGGTGTGGTTTAAACATTAAAAAAAAAAAAGAAAGAAAGAAACACAAAAACTTGTAGGCTTTACAACCTCGGTCAGACGCGGGTTCTCTGTTCCTCCGCCCCCCGGACCCCGTGAAGAATTTGACCCCTTCCTTCCCAATCCATCCTCCTTTGTAGAGGTCCGGGGTGTGAGAGGGTGGGGTACAAGTATTCAAGATTGTGATCTCGCCCGGTGGAACTGACACCCCCCTCCCCCCCCCCCCGACCCACACGGTCCCTTTAGCTACAGTCTTAGGCATTCTATATATAGTATGTATAGGGCATGCTATATAATGTCTATACTACATAATATGCACAGAACGCAATATAATTTAGTGAAACTTCCTTGGGCAGCTTCTAAAAAGAAAAACCGGCATTTTAGCAACGGGTCTCGCTGTTCAAAGTCAGCAGGTGCCGGAAAAAAAAAACAAAAAGACACCTTTTCTTGGGCTTATTGCAGCCTGTTGCCACAGTACATGCGCGCACAAGCACTTGAGTCTTGGATGCCTCCAGGCTGCCTTTTATTATAGAGGGTGCTTTAGAAAAGTGGATACCTTACAATCTAAACAAGTTAGGACACCAAAGTAAATGATAAGCTTATATTCGTTAATTGATTTTGAGTCATGTGAAATATTTTTGAAGTTTTTTTTTTTTTTTTTTTAAAATGGAAGCCTGGCACTTGTGGCTCGTATCTGTAATTCTAGCTACTCAGGAGGATCACAATTGGAAGCCTGTTGGTGCAGGAAACACCAAAAAGCTGCTAGTGGAGATGTGGCTCAAGTGGTAGAGCACTGGCTTTGAGTTCAAACCCCAGGAATGGTATCAAAGAGGAGGAAAAAAAAGGAAATGCAGTAAAACAACTTCTGTTAAATAAAGCTGAGCTTGAAGTGGTCATTTAGAGACCTTAAAGTTTTCATTTCATTTCTTTTTTTTCCTTAGGGCATATCGATGGGGGGATAGGATAAAATCGAAATTTAAATCTAAATTAAATATGAAGCCTAGATCTGAAGAAATCGTGAATTTTAATACCTTCTACCGCTTCAAATGTTCAACTGGATGAAGAGACATGAGAACTTTCTTACTCAGAGTTTGCTGCTGTTGTTGTTTTGAGACTTACATTACTTTTTAATCTTTCAGGATCGCTACTTTTGGAATCAAAGATAAATCCAAACACTGCATATCAGAAACAGCAGGCAAGTAGTTGTTTATCTTTAATTTGAAAAGCTTCTACTGTGATCCTGAAAGTAGTAGTCTTGAGTGTTTTCCTGACAGAAAAGTTTGATTAAAAAAAAAGTTACAGGTGATGTATATTTCCCTTCCAGGATAAAAATTTTAAACTGAAATGTCAGTTTTATTATGTTAGCAGTAATATGAAATAAGCCACTCATATTACAATAGTATATATAGTAGTCTTATTTTAACTATGCCATTTGTATACACTTAGGCTAAACCTTTTATTCTGAATCATATTTAAAGAAAATGGCATAAAAGAACCTTCAGAATGGTACTTTTAAAAGCAAGGACATCCTGTTTGTGACATGGGACTTTGTCATTTGATGCAAGAGTTGGAAGCAGTAGCATTTAAGTGTTTTTCTTTAATGTATTTATATTTTTTGATGTAATCAATGGATTTCTCACAGCTATGCACACTGCCAATGATACAACATCTTTGTCTCTATTACTACGTTGGAGAAAAAAAATCTGTTTTTTAACGTGCCCAAGTAATATGGAAATAGTAGCAGTGCTTAGACCATTTTTTCTGTGAATGTTACCATTTTTATTAATGAAATATGTCTAAATTGAGGGACTGGGAATGTGGCTTAGTGGTAAAGAGTTTGCCTTGCATGCATGAAGCCCTGGGTTCAATTCCTCAGGACCACATAAATAGGGAAAACCCGGAAGTGGTACTGTGGCTTTAAGTGGTAGAGTTCTAGCCTTGAGCAAAAAGAAGCTCAGGGACAGTACCTAGCACTGAGTTCAAGGGCCAAGACTGGTTAAAAAAAAAAAAGAAATCTGTCTAAATTGAAAAGTATAGAATATAATGGGCTTCATTAACACCACCAGATTAAATGATGTTAACATTATGCCATACCGTGTTTGTGTTAAATCTGTCTTGCTCAAAATTATTGATAGAGTTAATGCTCACTTTGTGTTCATCCATTTTGTCTAAAATCTGCCATCCCATAGGTAACCAGAGTATGAAATTTATTTTTTCTGAACATACTTTTGTACATTTTCAGTATTTGTATATATCCATAAATAATTAGTCTGTGTTTTTAAACTACAAAGTTGATACTGTACTTAACATATTCGGAAACATACTTTTTTACTCATTTTTCTGGAGATTTAATAATGTTAACAATATAGACCTAGTTTTGTTTTTACACTATTGTGATATAACATATACCTATTAGAAATTTGGACTGTTTGTGTGTGAAGTACTTTTCTAAGGGAAGTCACCATTTAGGGGTTATGTCAAATTAATTTCTTTGTAATATTCTTTCATATTTTCACCAAAATCTTAATTTGCACTTTCTTGCAAAGGTGAGATTTCTGAATATATTAATTTTTTGTGTGTTTATGGGTTTTATGTGTATGTGTATACTAGAGATTGAACTCAGGATCTCAAACTCTCAGATTTTTTGCTCACAGCTGTCTCCCTACCACTTGAACCATGCTTCAGTTTCCAACTTTTTGTTGGTGAACTGGCAATAAGAGTTACTTGGATTTCTCTGCCCAGAACGGCTTTGAATCTCAATCCTTCCATGCTGTACAGAGTTGGGGAATGCATTGGGATTCAATGAAGACGTTTAGATAATTAGTAATTTGGCATTCAACTCAATCTAACTTGATTTGAATTTGAGGCCTTTGTGCCTGCTGGGCAAATGTTTTTCCTACCACTGAGCCATGCTTCTAGCCTGATCCAAAAAAACTTAAGTATTTAAACAAACACACTGGAAAGAGAAGACAGTGACTTTTAACATGGTATGAATGAGGTGCCTTTGTATGTTTGTCAAAATTTTAAAGTTATTTAAAATTAGTTCTACTGATTTTAAGTAAATCAAATTACTGTTAACAAGCCGGGGCACCGGTGGCTCACGCCTGTAATCCTGACTACTCAGGAGGCTGAGATCTGAGGATCGAGGTTCAAAGCCAGCCCAGGCAGGAACATCCATGAGACTCTTATCTCCAGTAAACCACTAGAAAACCAGAAGTGGCACTGTGGCTCAAGCAGTAGAGCGCTCGCCTTGAGCTGAAGAGCACAGGGAGTGCCCAAGCCCAGAGTTCAAGCCCACAACCTACCAAAAAAACAAACAAAAAACAAATTACTGTTAACAGTGCAGAAATAGAATTAAAATATTTAGCACACTTGTGTGTTAATTAGGTTCAGGAGAAAAGCATAAGAAAGTCCTTGCCTCAGTTTATTAGACAAAATACCCCACCTGAAATAATTACAGAATAATAAGTAATTTTTTAAACCACGAAAACACTTTACAAAGAAGCAAAGAAGACATAAACCCACACAAAACACTATATGAAGGGCAAACTTTTATTCCACAGCCTTGGGCAATAGAAAATGAGAGCTGGCAGATAATGATAGAAAATAGAATCATTAAGAAAAACTCTTATGGGTGGCGATTGTTGAAGGAACAATAAGAAAACAATATACTACTACAGAAAGTATTGAGCTTATTTGTAGAAGTTTCTTGTTTGAGAGCTTGGTTTATGAAGCACAAGGGAGTTATTGTAGGTTTTTCTGGGTTCCTAAAATGATGAAAGTGATACTGTGTTTAAGAAATCAGTGTGATAATGTTATGAGAAATAAATGAGTAGAATAATAAATGAGCAGAAGAGTTTTGGATCGCAAGACCTATTATGATAATTCAAATTTTAAAAAAAAGGCTAGTAAATGACCTTGAAAAACAGGAACAGACCTTTAGTACATTTTCAAGAACATATTAGAATAGTAGATGAATTACTAAATATAAAAAAGAGGTTCAGGCCAGGTGCTGGTGGCTCACCTGTAATCCTGACCACTCAGGCGGCTTAGATCTAAGGATCATGGTTCAAAACCAGCCCAGGCAGGAAAGTCTGTGAGACTCTTCCAGTTAGCCACCAGAAAACCAGAAGTGGCACTATGGCTTGAAGTAGTAGAGTGCTATCCTTGAGCAAAAAATCTCAGGCACAGTACCCAATTCCTGAATTCAAGACCCAGGACAAGCAATGCATGAGTGTGCATGTGCACAGGCACACACACCCTTACACAGAATTATAAAAGTACTGATGTTTCTTTTTTACCCCAAGCTCAGTCCATATTTTCCTTTGGTAAAAGCCACCCTCTTTACCAGTTTCCTACAGATCTTCTAAGAGATATGCAAATGTAAACAAATGTCCACAATCACACATATATTCTTAAATTGACAAAAAAAAAAAAAAAAGCATAGTATATACTATTCTATACTTTTTTTCGTTTAGGCTTTGAAGTGGTTGGGAAATAATTGAAAAGTTTGATAATCATTAGTGGTAATGATCATCAAATGAATTTTTAGTTGCCAGATGGGACCTTCTTTGAAGTACCTAAATTAAAAGAATAAAGTTTTAGCATAGTCTGTAAGACTGTTGATATTTATCCATTTGCCAAATAACACCTGGTTGAATATTGCTCATGGGCTGGTTCCTATCTGTAGATTGGATTTTTTTTTCAATGCAGTTTGACAGTTCGTGAAGTTTTAGCAGAGGAATGTTTTGTTCCAAATCTTAATAATAGAAGTATGTAGAATTGGAGAGAGACACATAGAAGACTTCTTGAGAGATTTATGTTGTCCAAAGAAGAGATTGGATTATGATGGTGGAATTGTTCAAAATGGTGGATGGATTTAAGGTGTATTTTAAAGATAAAATTAATTAAGCATGCTGATAGATTAGGCTTTGGGAATCAGGAAAAAGAAAGATCCAAGGAAGTAGAAGAGCAAGTACCTGGCTTTATCAGCCAATCTGAAAATGTGTTATTTTTTCAAACCGATAGAGAACAAGATGTCAGTAAGTTAGGGCCAGTTGACAAATGATTATTCTACATTCTGAAGCATTAAGATTTCAGGCTTGGAACGTGGCTTAGTAATAGAATGCTTGCTTAGCATGGGTTTGATTCCTCAGTACCACATAACCAAAAATAATAATGAAATGTGCGCGCTCTCTCTCTCTCTCTCTCTCTCTCTCTCTCTCTCTCTTTATATATATATTTCCCTCCCCCCCCCCCCCCCATGGGGCCTGAATTCTGGCCTGGTTGCTGTCCCTTACTTCTTCAGCTCAAGGCTAGTGCTCTATCACTTGAGCCACAGTGCCACTTCCGGCTTGTTCTGCATATGTGATGCTGAGGAATCGAACCCAGGGCCTCGTGCATGCAAGGCAAGCACTCTACCACTGAGCCACCTTCCCAGCCCCGTGAAATTATATTTTTAAAAAAATATTTCAAAGATTCTAAGTTTGGGTTATAACGATACAGGACTTGTTTTGTTTTGGTCGTGGGGCTTGAACTCGGCATGGGCACTGTTCCTTGAGCTTTTATGCTCAAGGCTAGTGCTCTACCACTTGGAGCCACATCTCCACTTCCAGTTTTCTGGTAATTAATTGGATAGAAGAGTTTCACAGGGGCTAGGAAGGTAGTCCAATGGTAGAATGCTTGCCTTATATGCATGAGACCCTGGGTTCGATTCCTCAGCACCACAAAAGCAAAAAAAGCCAGAAGTGGCTCTGTGGCTCAAGTGGTAGAGTACTAGCCTTGAGCTGAAGAGCTAAGGGACAGTGCCCAGGCCCAGAGTTCAAGCCCTACGACCAACCCCCCTCCCCCCCCCCCCAAAAAAAAAAAAGTTTCACAGACTTTCTTGCCCTGGCCGGCTTTGAACTGCAATCCTCAGATCTCAGCCTCCTAGAGTAACTAGGACTACAGGTGTGATCTACCAGCACCAAGCAATAATAAAGTGTGGTGTTGGTTTCTTTGTTGTTGTTGTTTGTTTGTTTGTTTGTTTTTGGCAGCACTTGGGATTGAACCTAGCGTCTTATCCATGCTAAGGAAGTACTTTACCTCTAAGCCACACCATTAAGTCCTGTATTTTTTTTTTTCTGCATGTATACTGGTGTTAGGGCTTGAATTCTGGCAAATTAGCTTTTCACTCAAGGCTGGCACTCTAGCACT